CGCGCGTCTGTCAGCATCCACGGATCTGTGAGCAGCTTAATGCAGCGACACACCAGCCACTCTCTAGCTCCTCTCTCTCTCTTCTCTCGCTCTCTCTCTCTCTATCTCGCTCTCTCTCTCCTTCTCTCTTCTCTCTCTCTCTCTCTCTCTCTCTCTCTCTCTCTCTCTCTCTCTCTCTCACACACACACATCACTTTCACCTCCTCTCTTTCCACTGTTTCAAGTCTCATCTCCACCTCTGCCTGGTGCGCTCTCTGAAGGAGGTGCAGCCCACTCATTCGGAAGATAAATAAGAATGCAGAGTGGGATTTCAAAAAGGCAGAATATGTGGCAATTAGGTGGAGGAAATTCAAAAAGGAGTGCAAATATACCACAGATACCCAGGGACACCCAAACCAAATAAAGATAGTATCAAAAAAGAGCTTCCACTCAATAGGCAGCAAGTAGAAAACCAGACAAAATGCCTCCACTACAGTGAAGTATTAGAGCCAAACATAGAAACATTTGACATTTTTTTAAACTAATGGTTTATTTTCACAAAAAAACATAAAATACTGTGGAATTCTGAGAATATGGTTGTCATTCCTTTTAATAAAAAAGTTAACGTTTCGAAAACAATAAAAAAAAGTCAGCGTTGTCAAAACTATTAGCTCCTCTCTTTTCCTAACCACTTTTACTTCACCTCACTGAAATATGTGAAGAAGAATTCATCAGGACTAAAAAAGACAACCTGGTTCTGATAGAATCCGACTGCAGACATAATTATGCGTCTGTTTGAAGAACATTTTCCATAGACTGCTAAAAGTGTATCTAGATACTCCACCCCATGCGTTCTAATGTTGTTACATGTGGGCTTTATAAACATGGATAAATGTGGGAGGCGTGTGGTGCAGTGGGTTGTGCGTTGGTGTTGGGGTCAGGGGAGCACAGGTTCAAACCCCACTGCAGTCAGCATGTCGTTGTGTCCCTGAGACTCTTCACCCCAAAGTGCTCCTGTGGGGATTGCCCACAGTGTTGAGTATGTTAGTCGCTTTGGATAAAAGAGTCTAACAAGTGACATGTAATGTAATGTGAAAAATATGTTTGTCCGTTGACAAGATTTAAATTCAAATGAAACAATTAAAGTGCAAATAAATGGTTGCATTCTCCTCTCCACATGAATCCCAATACTACTACTGTGTATATCACTATTCAAACATGTTGAATACATCTACTGTCCCTGAATGTATTAATGTATGTATGTATGTATGTATGTCATGCAAAATGTAGTGAACTTCTGTGTGCCTCCTCTTTTTTTGCCTGGGCTTGTGTTCTTCCAGTCTACTGCATCTGGGTCCCTGAACAATGTTCACAATTAAGTGACAAGTAAGAAGTCATATTGAAAAAATGTACACCACATTATGTCATGAAAGTAAAATGATATTTTAGGCCCAGGCGAGGCGGTGAAGTTACGCCATTCAAAAAGCTCTTGCCCACCACTTCAGACCACGACTGCTGGTGGACAGGTGGAGGGATCCCACAGAACTGTGTCATGGATAGTTGCACTGAACGAGACAAGCTGATTAGACTGCACCGATGCTACTTCCATGAGACCGGACACGAGAGACTCATTTTCTTTTAGCTTGTCAGAAAGCCGTCGGATATCCTCCTTAAGGTCTGTCATCTGTTTATTAGCTCTTTGAAGTAGAACATCATACTCAGGGTGTTTTGATGGCATTCTTGAGTGTGAAAGGTTTAGGGCAATTACTGTCCCATGCACCAATGCCAAACTGCGTCAAGATGTTGTATAAGCAGGGATGGCTAAATGTTGGTAAGCAGGAGAGCTAGATGCTAACAGATGCTAACAGTTGCTAACAGGTAGTGGGAGCCTGTAAAAATTGCGACTGCCTCTGTCCGTACGTTCCGCATATATGTCCACTATCCCCTCAGGTGACAGCTGTCGTCCTCAATGTGAAGAACCGCAAGTGAGGGAAAACCTTGTTCCTCCCATCGTTGACCGCAGCCAGTTCCGAATTCTCCTCATTGCAGAAAAACTTCTCTCAGAGGTGGCAGATCCGACTGGACAGTGCCAACTGGAGCATCTTGTATACATTTGGATAGTTCTCCTTTTTAACAGTCTTTTGAAGATGCTCAAGTGCAACAGGTGCGACAGCAGAGGCTTTAACATCTATTCAAATATTGTATTGGAACAGTTTTAGACGTAGTAATGCTGTAACATATTTCAACCACTAGAGGGGGGCAATGCCCCCCGCAAAATCCGCCTATGCCCCAGAGTGCAGTGCCACTGGCTACATGACCCTATGCTAAATAACACGCTGCAAACAGACACGTGTACATTCGTTGTACAAAGATCTGCATGGCTTACAACACATGATCATGTAATATATTAAGCTATCGATAACAAGGTAGCCGCTTTCTAAAAAAATACCTTGCTTTCCCATTTATTTTATCTAAATCGGAACACAATTTACAAATTGATCATCATACTGTTATGAAGAATACTTAACAAAAGTCATTAAGATCATACAATTCTCAGAAGTTGTCGACTTTACATAAATCAAGTGAGAAGTCGGGTCATTTTCTCATAGACTTCTATACAATCTGAATTCGTTTTGTAACCATTGGAGCCACCGCCTGCTGGTAATTTGAAGGAATGCAAGTTTTCCGCACTTCCACTTTAAGAACCTGCAATATGAATAAAAAAGATTATTCAGGCAGCAATATGTTTCCTTCAAAACATGTTGCACACAATAAAAAGCTAGCAAATGGAGCTCATTTTAAAATCCTCACTTTGTTATTAATATGCCAAGTGAAGCCCAGTCGACACCGAGGCAAGAACACAGACTGGTAATGGAGAACACTGTGTTTATGTATGAGCTTCAGAGCCCGCAGAGAGCGATGAGACTTCAGCGACCATCTGTCACCTGCCATCCCTCGCTTGTTTACAGCCTCCATTGTGAATGACCTTTTGCTCTCTCTGGAATACATTAGTTATTATTATCATTGAATATTGTGCATTTATAACCGCCATGTAACTGATGAGTGATTCATATTGAATGCTTGGCGTGTGCCAGTGGGAGCTATGAATGAATGTGTTAATATACACACCTCTGAGCATGTTTACCACAACAGTGTGTGGCTGACACAGCTTACTTATTTCAATATCCGTGTCAGCTCATAAACAACACACATAGGTTACAAAAGCCCATTGCTGTTACCATGGCGATCATTGCCAATGGCAGGAAGACGCACACGGTACTTTCAGGTTAATGCTGCATCTGCACAGATATTTGTTCTCTATGTTCCTCAGACCTTCCTTTACAGAAACCCTGCAGCTGGGCTTCACGCCTGCTTAGCCCCCACCTGGAATCTGTGAAGACAGGCAGTGGATGATGATGTCACCGTGATGAAGATTGCTGCAGAAGAAGAGCCAGAGACAGGTGATTGATGTTAATGGTCAGTAATGGAGATCCACTATTTACCTTTACGGAATGAGATATAAAAGGTATGCTTCACTTTTGGGAATATGCTTGTTTTCTTTCTTCCATGGGTTGCAAAAGAACAAAACATTTCATAAATAAAAAGGAAATCACTTATTCATACAGGGGATAGCTAGGAAAAGAAAGCAATAAGGAATGAGATAAGAGGAAACTATGAGGACAAGACAGTGAGTAAGCACAGAAGAGACAATCTGCAGGCAGCTTAGAGACAGGAAGCCTTTTAGATTCCTGAGAGTACCAAGTACTTTAATCTTTCTTTATGTTCCCTTTAAAAAACACTACTTCTCCGAAAATACCTCCCTCCGTAGGCCCTGATCAGACAGAGCGTGTTTTAGCAGCTGTAACTTTTTTAAATAAATTAATTGTTTTTGCAGTTGGATTAGTTGGACAGAAAAGTGTGGAGATGGATATTCTGTTTTCATCAAGCAATGATCAAGTAACAGTTCTTCTAAAACTGAAAATGTGTTTTTCTAAGTGACTTAGAGCTCCATTGTACATTGGTGACATGTCCCCATCCTTTAATGGACTTCTCCCACACCAAATGTGTGCGCTAACAAAAGCACAATTGTCTCATATTAAAGTTAAATATACCTTTTACATACCCATGGGAACACTGTGTTAGTCTATCTTTACATCATTTCATTATAATTCAATTGTATTACATGCCTAAACTGGGCACTGCCTATGGTTGCAGTTATTTTTAATCATGTTATCTCAGTAGTATTATTCTCCTATCTCTGTTGTATTGATGGAACAAGTGAATTAACCTTTTCTAGCAGGCAAACCACTTACTGATGAATGAACTGTTGCTATCGAGATGAGGGGATTAAGATGAATTAGAAAGATGGCATGGTGCTGAGAGATAGCACCCTGCTGGTTTGACTCACCCGTAAGGATTGATGACAATAGGAATAACCCAGACTTGCAATCAAACCCCGTTGTCTCTGAATCATGTGTGCGGTAAACAGATTAGTTTTATTACATGTTGCATGGTGACTTCAAGGAAGCAGGAGCATTTTATAGTACGGTGCATGGGCGTAGGAAGCATCCTCAATGTGGGTGGGACAATTTGACGGGGGGTGTGGGCAGGTGTACCTAACCTCCTCTAGGGGGGTCCGGGGGCATGCTCCCCCGGGAAGATTTTTTTTAAATGTTGAAGTTAAAAGCATCAATCTGGTGCACTTTGAGAGCAACATGAGAGACTAAATCTATGGAAACATCTCTCAACACCACCCATGTGAAACAGAAAAACAGACTTACTTTTTCTTTATGCATATTTTACAAATCACTCTCCTTTTAAACTGTATTTTTGTTTTACTGTCCTATAGTATGAGTTGGAATTATTTCATACCTGTTATTCTCTTGTTTTTTTTATAATGATCATATAAAAGGTGTGCCTTGGAAATACTTGTTTACATGACATAACTTAGACTAAAGTCAACAATCTAAACCCTCAAGAGTCCTTTACCTCCCTGAGCTGACGTTATAAGATGTGTCTGA